TGATTGGGCATGGGGTGAGTTAGTTAGTATAGGTTGGTTGTTGCTGTTGTTGGGTTGTGACGCACAGTCAACCTCTGTACAAGAGTGAAGCAGCATCGCTCAATCCTGAGCCACTCTCATGTTTGAGCCCATGGTTGTAGTTTTTGTGTCAATCCAACTTTCTCAGGGTCTCCCAAACATGTCTGAAGTAAGTGACAGGAAGTCTTACCAGCCTTGCTTGTAAGCAACATTCTGGCTATAGTTCTTCCAAGATCCGTTTGTTCTGTTGGCAGTTCCTGACACTTCCAATACTCTATTCCACCACCATAATTCAAAATGTATCAATTCTCCTTGGTCTTCCTTATTTAATGACCAACTTTCACATGCATGTGAGGTGATGGAAAATAGCATGGTGTGGGTCAGGCATATTTTGCTCCTCAAAGTAACATCCTTACTTTTCAACACCCGAAAGAAGTCTTGTGCATCAAGTAGATTTACCCAGTACAAGAGCTCAATACAATGGGCTGTTGATCTCTTAATCTCTTGACTGCTGCTTCCCTTAGCATTTGGTTGTGGATTCAGGAAATGTATTACATATAGATATTACCACAATAACTTGATGAAAAATTCAAGAGAGAGCAGGGAAAAAATCTCAAGTTGTATTGTTTTTGCAACAATAGTTGTATTGCAATAAAAATAGAAAGTTCATAGAAGTTAGGTATGCAGCTGTTACTGGGGATTAGTCTAAGATCATTTTTGCCTCGCCCCAAAGATGATAGTGGAAATAAAAGATATAATCAATAGTAGTGATTGAGTCCATGTAATGGTGAGTAAAAGGAGTGTTTAAGACTCTGACTTGAATCAACAACCAGTGATCAGAAGAACTATATATTAAGAAAACACTGAGATGAACAAATAAATGAATAAGAGAATAAAATGAATTGAGCAACAGCCAATGAAAACATACATGTTGATGTGAATTATGTCCTAAAATTAACCTGCCAATTAATTGTAAACTTTTAATTCCATTTCAATTAACAATTTTTGGGTGACATGTTTGGTTGCATAAGGACTTCGTTTATGCAGAGTGCATCTTTTTTTTTATCCTTAGGGCATTGATGAGGCCCCAAAATATTTCCCCTTTTTTTTTAAATCAATTTATTGGGGCTCATA